CTTGCGGTTTTCTAGCCCTGTCTGTGACTGGGTACATTTAATCATGGAATGGAATATTAAAGAGCCTATTGTAGCTACAGATCTAATCCATATTTTCCAAAGAACCTTATTGGTAATAAAGGTGATCAGTCCTATTCTAACGGACTCCTACATCTACTTCTCAATTTGTTCTCAACTTCGAAGAGAAGCAAAGGTCGTATATAGTAATTCTCTCAAAACTATAAGAACTGGTTAGAGATATCAGAGAGGTGGTTGGATAGAATCAATGTATAAAAATCAATTTTATTCCTATATGCACCAGAATAACCAACTAGAAAATGTAATTATAAGAAAATTCTGGTTATAATTTTAAAAGTCCTGCATGGTATCTAGAGACAATGCTGATAAAAGATATGCACAGTCTTTGCAAAGAAAATAATAAAATTTGAATAATGGACATTTAAAATCGCCTAAATAAATGGAGAGATAGACCATGTTTACAGACAAGAAGATTTAGTAATGTAAACAGAGCAACTCTAAGTGGACAGGCGGCCCTTCTCTACTCTGGGCCCCCCAAACAGTCTCTACCTTTTCCCCAAATAAAAAGTTAAAAATAAATAAATAAAGGGAGAGAGAAACAGAGAGAGACTTTATCTTGGTTAATGAAGTAATGCCCAATAATCCTTTAATCTTTTTAAGCAGTAATGCTACTTTTATGAAGTGTTTACTCAAAAGAATTAGCACAATAACATTTTGAGAGAAGTACTATTATTATTCCCATTTTACAGATAAGGGAGCTAAGGCCCAGAGAGGTCAATCCACTTGCCCAAGGGCACACAGCTAGTCAGTGGTGGAGCCAGGAATGGAATGCAGGCGCTCTGGCTCCAAGCCTGTATTCTGAACCACTGATGTCTGCCGCTGTCAAGTTCGTCCCGTCATGCCGTTGTTCTCACTCACCTGCCATCTGAAATGCTGTTGTGAGCAGGGGGAAGGTGAGGTTGCAGCAAGTTCACGGTCAACTACAGCACTCTAGCCCCTGTGTCCGTGGGCTCCGGGGAGTGTTTTCTGGGTAAGCACATCCATATGTCAAGGGGAGGAGGTTGAAAGCCAGGCTCTATATGACAGATGAAGAATCTGCTCTGTTCATAAGGGGAGTTTTTGCCCCTGAGAAATGAACCATGTCCGGGGTTCCTAGAAGCTCAAGGAGATCCCACCTCTGCTCGGACATAAGACTTTGGTTCCCTGTAGGTCTGCTGTATTTTTAATTCTGTTTCAGTCCTTCTCCGTTTTCTGACCTATTAGTCTCAGCCGCTTGCATTCTGTGCCACACACACATACTTAGCTCCTACTTCTTAGCACCCTGAGAGGCAGGTAGCATGGGGCACTGAGCAGGAGTGTTCTGTTTGCCGCTGTACCGCATACCCTGGGCAAGTCAACATCAGAGTCCACGTGTTCAATGTCAGAGTCCATGTGTTCAATGGCAGGGTCCATGTGTTCAATGTCAGAGTCCATGTGTTCAATGTCAGGGTCCTTGTGTTCAATGTCAGAGTCCATGAAATGGGTCTGACGCTCAACAGATGCCCCCCTACGAGGTGAGGGGTGCAATGGTGTCCCAATAAAGACACATCCTGAGCCCTCAAGGAGCTCAGTTGAGAAAACCACTTAATCCAAGGCAGAAGGATTTCAGGTTTAGGGCAAAGGTACAGAGTGTTTGGGAGGCCCAGGGCAATAAGGGGCTTCCTAGCTTCAAATCCCAGCTGCCCCATCTGCCAGTGGTGTGAACTTGAACACACTGCCTGTGGGAGGCAGAATAATGCCCACCCATCTCCCCACCCCCACAAAATATCCACATCCTAATCCCTGGACCCTATAAATATGTAAGGTAATTACATGACAACGGGGATGTAAGGTCACAGATGCAATTAAAGTTGCTAATCAACTGTCTTGAAGATAGTGAGGTTGTCCTGGTTTCTCTGAAAGGGCCCAATGTCATCACGAGGGTCCTTAACAGTGGAAGAGAGAAGCAGGAGAGACAGAATGACATTGTGTGAGAAAGACGCAACTTGTCACTGCTGGCTTTGACGATGGAGGGAGATGAGACATGCAGGCAGCCTCGAGAAGCTGGGAAAGGTGAGGAAACAGATTCACACTTAGAGCCTCCAGAGAGCAACGCAGCCCTGCGGAGTGAGACTTCTGACCTTGGAATGTAAGGTGATAAATTCACGTTGTTTTAAGCCACGAAGTTTCTGGTAATTGGTTACAGCCAAGACCGAAAACAAATACACTATCAAAATTCTGTAAACCTCAGTTTTCTCACCTATAAAGTGGGAATAATAACCACATCTACTGCATAGAGTAGGTGTGATGATTCAACGAAAATCCTCGTGTGTAAAAATCCTAGTGCAGGGTTTCGCCCCTTGAGACGCTCTATGACAGCTCCCTAGACAAGCCCACCCAGGCTCCCTTGGGACAGGGGACAGGCGTGCCCCCCACCCCCCATAGCCCAGGGTACATGGGCATCTCTCCTTACCTCTTTTTGAGGATGCCCGATTCTCCCTAGGACGATTCAGCCCACTTTCCCTTGCCCTCCCAATTTCTGCTGTTGTTGGTCTTTGATAGTGCAATCTCTGATTCTGGGAGGTGTGGGCATGTGACGGAGAGAGAAGCTACAACCCACTTTCCATCAAAAAAAAAAATGTACCCTTGGCCAGAAGACCAGGGTGTGCCCCTGGTATTCAGTGATGCTCTATTTCCAGAGCAGGCCGCAGGCAAGTCACCTCTTTACCGAAAAAGATGGCCCTTGTGAAAAATTGCTGGGTGTTTGTATTTTCGCCCATCTATTTATTCAAAGCACCCTAAGCTTTCTGATGCTGGATTGATTCACAAAGATAAACGGGAAGGGAAATCTGTTTTTCTTCTTGGAGGGAAAAGAAAGGAGACACCGCAGAAAGCAGATTTACCACCACCGTTTATTAGAGCAGACAAGGAGAGGGGGGAAAGAGATGACCAGACACCTCCACAGCCCCCAGTGCAGGCCTTGCAAGACTTGCCAGAGTCCTGAGGACCCGCAGCCTGCCCGACGGCTGAGCCCGAGGGGCCCTGCATCCTCCCCAGCTGAGCTTCCCTGCCTGCACCCTCATCAAACCTGTAGGAAGGCCATGCAGGGAGGGGGGTTATACTTTAAACTATTGGCTTTAATGAGTGATGCAGGTTAGTAAAATGAAGCAGCACATGTATATTTGCCATCAATCCCCAAGGCAGACTTGGCCACACCTGGAGCTCACGAGGTCTGAACACATCCATTTCCACGGCTGAAAAATGCATGCAAAAGGGAACCTTATCCCGTTTTGACAGTAGCCAGGTCGTTGCTTATCAGACGGCCTGCTGGAAAAGAACAAGAAAAGAACACGATCATGGGATGGTCAAGTTGATAGAATGGGGAGGGGAGAAGGGGAAGGAGGAAGAGGGGGAGGGGAGACAGCTGAAAGCAGTCAGCTCCTAGCACTTCCCCGCCCCCATGCACCAGGCAGCACTGTGTTCCAACCACTGACTTTTTTAATGCTCCGAACGACCCTGTGAGGGAGGAGCCCTTACTGTCCTCATTTTGCCGATGAGGACACAGAGAGAAATTGGGCATTTTTTCCCGTGATCGGTTTTCACGATCGGAATGCTCTCCGAGTCCACATTCCAAGTTGGTGTGTACCCCTCCTCCCTGTTTCCATGTAAGTGGGAGCTGCCTGCCTTGAGGCTTCGGTGGGATCCATGTTTTGCAGGAGCCAGTGGTCCCCACCCCGGGCTCACCAGCAGGGCCGATCCCACCCAGAGGGAGAGGCCTCAGTCGGTCAGCCCCTGGAGGGTGTCGCCGTGCATGGGGCTCGCTCGACCGAGAAATCACCCCTCTCGCCTGGCCACACAATGGCACTAAGTGTCTCGCTTTATGGAGAGATGTCAGTCCAATCCCCACCCTTCAAAAGTAGAACCTCCCCCCACCCACCCACCCACCCACACACAGGACCGGGCAGTGCAGTCCACAGGAAGGATGCGGGATTTGGCGTTGGCGGAAGACTGACATCCGGACCAGTGGCTGGCATGAGTTAGTAGCTTAACACTGAGCTCCTCCATCACATGGGGTTAAACATAGGCCCTCAAATGGCACCGGGTATTAAGAGGATCAAACAGGAGAATTTGTGTGAGAGGGAACACTCTGGAAATTCTAAAGAGCACCACCCTAGAGGGAGTGTTCCTCTGTCGACTCACAGTAGCACAAAATCAACAACAACGCAGATGTAAGATTCTTCTTAACCACAGGTGATAAACGACCCAATTATATCCCGTCCTGCTTCATCCATAAAAATGACAGAGGAGGACCGACATCCACTAGGCTTACCCTCTGAAGGAAATTGCTACTTCATCTAATAGGATCTGGAAAGGAGTGAGCGAGGGAAGGCGCCTGGCGTGGGAGCAGGCAGGGTGCGCAGGCGCACTGGGAACGCTGACAGTCCAGTTCAGGGGGCCCGAAAGAGCAAAGCCAGAGCAAGAGGGGGGCGGAATGGGTGGGCCAGGCAGGCCCCCGGGTCGGAAGGTTAGGGGAAGGCAGGAAAGAAGTTGCTGGTCCTGGTGACAGTGGTGATGGTTATGATAGATGTCACCGGTCAAGGCCACGGTTGCCAACTCCGCCTGTAAAAACCCGAGTCTCCACAAGCCACACATCTCCAGCTTCGTATTCCAGAGTGACCTTTTCCGGACAGCAAACAGGGTCACATCCCGCCCCTCTTTGGGATCTCTTGGTGTAGGGGTCTGGCTCCCTGTGTGTCCCCAGCACCCCCCTTGACCCGGCTGCCACCTCTCTCCCCTGCATGGCTCTTGCTGTTGCCTAGCCCTCAGCCGGCTGGTTAGCTGGCTCCCCTAAGCCATGGCCTTGAGAACCTCTGTGCCCATGCACATGCTGTCCACCGCCATCTCCCTAAACCAGAAGGCCCCGGGTGGGCAAAGGCACATACCGGAGGCTGGCCCGGAGCCCCTCACACGGGATGGACCATGTTCCTGTCACAGTGGGGCTTGCAGTAAGGGTTCAGCCAGTGCTCCAGGAACTGCTCCTCGGCGCGGTGCTCCAGGCGAAGCAGATGGTGCATGTATTCCTGTCCAAACAAACCCGCCCAGCAGAGAGGTTTTTATCCACAGTGACAGCTGAGCCGCCTTCGAGCATGACATGGCCGTGCTTCTGAGATAGGGCGCAGCCAGGCAGAGGGAGGCTGGGAGGCAGGACCAGACGGGAGCCCGCCACGCCCACACCTCTCTGCAGGGAAACTCAGTCACACAGACCCGAGCAGTGGGCAGAATAAAGAAATCTGACAACCTTAAGTGCTGAGAGAGTGTGCATCTATGGGAACTCACACACACAGTTCATGGTGGAACGTGGAACCACCACTTTGAAAAACAGTCGGTTGCCGGCAATCCGGAAATCCCGCTCGTCAATTATACCCTGAGCGGTGGCCCTCAAATGTGATCAGGCCTCAGAATCACCTGGAGGGTTTGTCAAAACCCAGATGGCTGGGCCCCACCCCCAGAGTTTCTGTTTCGGTGGGTCTGGGGTGGGGCTCCGGAATTTACCTTTTGGGCAAGCTCCCAGCCCGTGCTGATGCGGCTGGTCACTTCGAGAACCAGAGAAACGTTTATCAGGAGCTGTGCAAGAATGTTCACAGCAGCCTTGCGGTAACAAAACACTAGCACCACACCAAATATCCACGCACAAGAGGAAGGATACGTAAATTGTGGTAGGAGCGCACCTCGGGATATTACACCGCAGTGAATACAAATGAATTCCAGCCGCCGATGTCGTCTCAAAACATGAGTCGCTAAATAAAATATTATTTACGGCTGCATGCATTTGTGATTAAAATCATCTCTTTTCAAAGGCAAGGGATAACTCTAAGAAAGCTGAAGTTGCTCTATTATTATCAAACAAAAGAGACTTTAAAACCAACAAAATGTTACTAGGGAGAGGGGGGCCAAATACAGCCTAGAAGTTCCTCGAAATGTTAAACATAGAGTGCGCGTGTGACCTGGTGGTTGTGCTCCTAGGTACACGCTCAAGAGAAACGCAAACGTGAGCCCACACAGACCGTGTGCACCGATGTTCGGGACAGGATCCGTCAGCGTGGTCAAAAGGTGGAAAGAACCTGAATATCCATCAGCTGATGAATGGATAGATACAATGTGGTAGATGCATACGATGGAATATTATTTGGCCATAAAAAGGAATAAAGCACTGACACATACTCCAACGTGGATGAACCTTGGAAACATTCTGCTTCGTGGAAGAAGCCAGTCACAAAGAACTGCGTACTGTAGGATTCCCTTTCCATGTAGGAGCCTGCCCTACAGAGTGACGGGTTCACCATGGAAAGCAGCTCACTACGTGGTGCCACCCACCTCGGAAACCCATCTACTCGGGAATGCAAGCCAGAACCCAGCCTGTCATGGTCTCCCTCACCCCCAAACTCAACATGACAGTGAGCAGGAGGACTGTGAGTCAACTCCTGAGTGTCCCAGATGCACCCCCTTCCATCGCTGCCATGTCTGTAGGTTGGGTCCTCAGTGCTTGCCACCCAAGATATGACAGTCTCCTCACCCCTCCACCCCTCCCTTAGCGCCCCCATCCCTCCACCCCACGCCACACCTGCCCCCAACATCTCTGCTCCACCTTGACAGTGACCAAATGCTGCCCAAAAGGCGTCACAGCTGCCTTCACCAGCACTGCCCACCTGGAAAGAAGAGCAGGTGACAACCCACTCTGCCCTCGGGGTTGGTCTGCTGGGTACGTCACTGTACCCAGCAGGTATTTTCTCCCCAAAAGAGAGTGGGTGGAGGTGGGAATGATTTTTAACTTGAAGGTATGCTGTTGACATTGCCCTGAATGAGGCCTGGGTGCTGTAATTATGGGATGTGAACCATCGCAAAGTATAAAACAGACTGATATAAACACATGCGGATAACCCAAAACAGCAGGCTAATAATCAGAGATGTGTCATCTCACTTTGGGAGAAAGTAATCATATTCAGTAATATCTGTACAAGATTAAGTGATTTTGGTGTGTATAAGTATCATAAAAATCCTAAATCCTGAACTCCTTCCTCTGGCGTTGATGAAGCTTTAAGAGAGGAGCCCAGTTTAGAACTTTAAGCTTTTAAGTTTCTACGAAACCCTCTAGGAAGTCTGCATCCTGTATTAAACATAGCTTGGAAAAAAAAATATTTTTTGTAATGACGGTGCAAAGGAATAAATTCTAAAGTGTCCACTTTTCCTGAATTTTTCTTCCTTTCCCGAAAGCAGGACCCATGCAGTTTGAATCTGTCTTGTTTACCATTGTTGTTTTCATCTGACTTGTCAAAAGCACTCCTTGTCCTGGGCAGGGAGACCCTGGGGCAGCCAGGGAAGAAGTGGGTGGTGAGAGGCCCTTGCGGGACCCCACTGTGGAACGATGACTGCCCAGCGGCTCACAGGACCCGTTTGTGAGTTTGTGGCTGAATCCTGCCCTGTCCTGGCCCATCTGAGAGTCTCTGGGCAGAAGAAGAAGAACTGGGCGTGCGGGGTGGGGCGGAGAGACAGGAAAGCAGCGTGGGGTCTTGTAAATAAAGAACAAAGACTTTCCAGCACACAGCCTTCCTTATTCTACTGTTCCGGGCAAGCAGCTCACTGAAGGAAGCCCACATGGCCGGCTTCTTGCCTGCCTGTGTGCCAGACCGCACACGGTAGAGAGGCTTAGAGGTCCGGGTGTGAGCCCAGGTTGGGCGTCGGGGTCTGTTCAAACCCAGACCCTGCCAATATCGCTTCACCTCTCCGGCTTCCCTGTGTCCATCTGCAAGACGGGGATGGCCCTGACTCTTATTCTACTGGGTTATCAGGATTAAATGAAATGATACAAGTCTGTGCCACACCTGTAGTTTCCACCTACCCGTCTAAATCCATTCCTCTCCTCCTTTGCATGGTCCTGTGCAATGAGAAGCTGGCCTAGAAGTGCAGCCCAGACTCCCTTGACCTGGGGCTTCCAGATGGGTCTGATGTAGAGGCACCAGCAGGGGATTAGAGATAGGGGAGAGGGAGGCCTCCAGAGGAGTCCCAAAGGATCGGCTGGCTGCATCCTCTCCTGAAGGCCACAGCTCCTAGGGGGCTGTCCTCTCCTATTCTGGGAGCCTGCCTTTCCCCTTCATGCCCAGGGGCTAATAACCCAGATCTTTTATCATCTCTTGCTAGTTGGCCTGATTCCTGCCTCGCCTTTGCAAGAAGTCTCTTCCTTAAGCTCCGCTCAATTCCTTGGGATTACTAATAGATAAGAAAGATCTGACCGTGTCTTGAGGTGGAGGGTGGAGCCTCTCTCCCAGGATCTGGTCCACAGGAAACTGTCATAAATGCTTGTGGAACGAAAGACGAAAGCAGCGGTCCTCAAAGTGGGGTCTATGCTCCCCTCAGGGCTCCACAAGGTCAAAACTCTTTTCAGAATCATCCTAAGACATTATTTGCCTTTTCATTATGTGCATTGGTGGATAAAACTGGTGCCTTAACCAGAGTCAAGGCAGTGACAACCACTATCACTGTCCTGGTATCTTTTTTTTCTAAAAGATTTTTTCTTCATTTGACAGAGAGAGAGCGCAAGAGAGCATGCGCAAGAGGAGCAGCAGAGGGAGAGAGGGAGAAGCGGGCTCCCCGCGGAGCATGGAACCCGATGGGATGTGGGGCTCAATGCCAGGACCCTGGGATCATGACCTGAGTCAAAGGCAGACGCTTAACTGACTGAGCCACCCAGGAGTCCTGTCCTTGTATCTTTCACCATCACACACTCACAGTGAAAATACACAAATAAATATGGAGCATTCCAAAAATGCCCATTACGCTGAAAAACACCCCCGTGAAGCAGAAGAAAGTGAGCCCATGGGAAGCCTGCTGGCAGCAGCTCTGTTGCATGACCAGGTACAGCAGTTTTCTCTAAGAAGAGTCCTTGAGTGATTGTTGGTGTCAAGGACTGAACTAGCTATGTGTGGCAGGCATCTTTTCGAGAATGAATGAAGTGAGCCTGTCACTTCAAGGAAAACAACAGACAATACTATTTACTGAACGAGAAACTTCAAGCTTTTAAAGGGAAATTAGAATTTTAGGAAACGTATTTATTCCCATGAGCCTGACAGCTTCCCAATACTTACAGACTTTTGGGATGAGATCAGTGGGGATATTAACAAATGTCGCCATTATGCCTCTTTTTTAAAAAAGAGATTTTATTTATTCATTTGAGAGAGAGAGAGAGAGTGTGCAAGTGAGAGAGAAAGCATGAGCAGGAGGGGCAGAGGGAGAGGGAGAAGCAGACTCCCCACTGAGCAGGGAGCCTGACGCAGGACTCGATCCCAGGACCCTGAAATCACGACCTGAGCCAAAGGCAGACATTTAACCAGCTGAGCCACCCAGGCGCCCCGCATTTGCATGCCTCTTATAATTATATGTTCATTTACATCCTTACCCATTTAATCCCTGTCCCACTCAGCCAAATTTCCAACTGGCTTTTCAATGGCAGTGACCAAGCTATACCTAGAATATGGCTTAGCGCTTGGCACAGAGTAGGACCTCAATAAAAATCACTGGAGAAATGTACAAACATACAAAAGCATGAATAGAGGACATGACTGTTCTTTTTCCGTAATCCTTCTAAATCCCCCTTGGAATTTCCTCGACATCTGTGTCAGTTTGCTCATTATAATGGCCCAGGCCAAACATACATAAAAGCATCGAAGAGTAATATGTATTTCACACTCCTAAATAGCAGCTGAAATCAGCGTTGAAGAAAAACAACCAAAACAGACACACATATAGAGAGAAAGAGAAACGAGCACTGGTTTCCATGACATTTCCCTATTTATTTAAAATGTTAGGAAAATGGATATACCACAAAGGCCTAGAAGCAATCATTAGTCAAAGATGAAAAGCCCAACTGCAAATCTGCTGAAAACCACAAATTCAACAATTGCATTGGCTGAGTTAGAAATGACCCAGCATTAATGATAAACTCAAATGTTCCTGGATCGAGAAAGAAGGGATAGATGGAAAATAAGTTTTAATTTTTTTTTAGATTCCTTTCTTTTAAGGGAAAAAA